ATGGATATAGAACCAGTCACAGACAAGTAACTAATATACACATGCTATGAAAATAAGCATAGGTCAGATCAAACAATAAACCAAACTGTTTATCTTCCTACTTTAACATTAAACATAACAACATCTTAAATTTAATACTGTAAAAAATCATCATACCAAAAGGTAGATGATAACATATTTATGCCAAAATAAAGCACGTATGATACATAAAACCTTAAAAATTGACATTAAAATTAGTAATTACTATTAAAAAAATCTTTCAGTGAATAAGAAGAATTCAACAGAAGGTAGTTTTTAGAGTAATTTTAAATTAATTCTTGTTATTAGACAATTTTTCATGCAAGGAGATAAGTGATTAAATGCCTTTAAACCCATATAATAAACACCATTTTTATAGATAGACAACCTTGGTTGTGAAGGGTAAAAATTATTTTTACCTCTGGTGTTGATATCATATAACTCTGAATTTGTTTTAAATAAGGAAATATTATCAATTACAAAAATTAGTAATAAAAATATATACTGAGAATAAAACGGTAATATATCTAGTTTCTTAAACAACTCCCTACAGGAATCCCTATTTCTGAAATTTGTAATAATTCTTATGGCGTTTTTTTTTTTGTAGTTTAAATATAAAGGGAATTCCCCCAGAAAATTATACCATATGACATAACTGCATGAAAATAAGAATAGTAAATCATCCTCAGTGACTCGTGGGACACAAAAGGTCTTAAAGATCTAATAGCATAACATGTTTGCTTAATTTAACCATACGTCCATCAATATGATGCTTCCGTGACAAGGAGCTATCAACAAACATACGTTATTATAAATAAATTATAAATTACTGTGACCCCAGAATACATAGGAAAGGGAAAAATCAGCAGATATATGATCTTATGCATACTCAGAATGAAAATATGGAACCTAAAAATAAAATTCCAACTATAATTAATGGCTATGTTTCAAAAACTAGGGACTTTAATATTGCTTTCAAGAATAATGAAGCATCTCTTACCCAAAGTGCTTAAATGATTTGTATGCTAAATTGTTAGATGATACTAGTATTCTTAACTGCAAGAAACACAAAGTACTGCTTATAGGAGATAGTCATTTAAGAGGGTATTCTGCAAATATAAAAACTTATTTGAATGACCAGTTCCAAGTAAGTGGTTTTATCAAACCTGGAGCGGGAACAAAGAGTATATTAGAACAAACCACTAATGAGATTATTATTATTATTATTATTATTATTATCTAGTTATTATCTAGTGATTTTATTATTCTTTCCTCTGGATCTAATGACGTAGGCAGAGTTAAATTAAGTGAGGTTTTTAGCGATTTAATTGATTTTATCAAGAGAACTACTCACACAAAGATTGTTTTATTAACAATTCCTACTAGACATGACTTAGAAGGTGCTAATAGCAGTATTAATAATGAGATTACCAAATTTAATAGAAGATTAATTAAATTGGGTAAACTGTTCTCTCATCTTAGTGTTCTTGAAATAGATGAAAATAGGCATTATTATACTAAACATGGGCTTCACTTGAATGGCTGAGAAAAAAGATGGTTTCTCTTAATCTGGCTCACCTTATTTTTCCCCGTATAAAAAAAGACAAGTAATTCGAGCAACAATATTATACCAGTTGGCTAGTATGAGCTTCAAGCACATTTAATTAGTCATTCTTCTACTGCCAGTCATACTTTACCACAGAATACTGATGAAGGTAACAAGAGTAAACGTATTAGGAAAAAGCCGGTAACAAAAACAGATGATTTTCTATGGGAAAGTTAAACCCAACTAATATTTTTTAGTAACGAAGATTACTGTAATTTATCACAGTTAAATAGATTGAATAGCAAAAGTGGTAAATCATGTGTCTCAACAATTTTTTTAAATATCTACCATCAGAATATCTGTGGTTTGAAATCTAAAATTAATGAACTGCTAAGTTTCTTATACCCTGAGCTACCACATATCATTTGTATTAGCGAGCACCATCTAAAGAATGCCAAAATTTATAACACTGTAATGGAAAATTACGTGGTTCGGGCCAGTTTTTTGTAGAAATAATGCTATGAAAGGTGGAACATGTATATTTGTTCTCAACTATATAAAATTTGTTGCTGTAAATCTTGATAAATATTGTGTAGAATTTGATATAGAACTTTGTGCAGTAAAAATTTGACATGAACCATCATATTTTACTTGTGTACAGAGCCCCCTCCGGTAATTTTAGAAATTTTATACTCAAAATGGATGAGGTGCTCAAATCATTATATATATCAAAAACTGATTTCATTATATGTGGCGATTTCAATATTGATTACCTCACTGATAATCATAAAAATAATGAACTCAATTCCCTATTAAACTCTTACAATCTCTTTAGTACTGTTAACTTCCCTACTAGAATAACCAATACTTCTAAATCAACTATCGATAATATATTTATTGATTACTCCAGAATGGGAAAATTTGAATTATCACCTATGTGTAATGGTACGTCCGATCATGATGCGTAATTAATATTGATCCATGATATTATTATGGCCCCTCATGTTAAATGTTTATGAAAGATAAGAAAAATTGACAAATATTCCCTGTTAAATTTTAATTATGAACTTTGGAATGAAGTATTTGATAATAATGAAGTGAACGCTGTTTTCAACGTGTTCTTAAACATTTTCTTAAGACACTTTTGTAATAGTTTTCCCAAATGTCTCACTCGACACCATACTAATACTAAAGTATGGATATCATCTACTATAAAAACTAAATGTAGTGTGAAAAGGCATTTGTATTTAAGCTGTAAGGAGAGTAATAACCCTTATATACAAAGTTACTATAAGCTATTCTGTAAAGATTTATTTAGAAATATTATAGAAGCCAAACGTTCATATTATGATAAACTAATTATAAACTCCGATAATAGAACTAAAACCACTTGGAATATTGTTACATCATTGACCGGGACGAAACCCTATCATGAAATTATACCAAACTTGAGCACTCCCGATAGATCATATATCAATACTAAAATGATTGCCGAATCCTTCAATAAATATTTTTTATCAATAGTGGAGACAACTACCAAAATGCACTAAAAAATATATTTGACATATGTAATAAGGCTAATGAAT